ACTTGCATGGAACAGGGTGTTTAATGCATCCCTTCCATGTTTCCACAATCTAATATCTGCAAAGTTTTATAATGTATGCGTATCGCACTTGTAGAAATAGTAAAAAGTGCAGACGTTTCGTAGAAACCTGCTGCCTCCTTTTTTATTTTCCAAGAGTTATCATAATGTCTATAAGAATATTAACAGCTCACGAATTTTAATTGGCCACGATAGTGTGAACAAACTGTACCTTATAGTTAATTCGAACCGTCACTCATAGAACCTGAGAAAAGGCAATATTACTGCCAAAATTTACACTGAAGATGGAGATGGCAGGTTGTTCCGAAATACTGGTTAGTTTTCTACCAGTTCGACACCGGCCAATACCCAGAGGGGACTGCAGTAAGTACGGCCCTTTCTTTTGCTTTTCAACTACTAGGTGAAATTCCAGGAGTGCCTGTAGAATACCTGGCAAACTTGAAGAGCGAGTTTACTACGTCGCATGTACAGACGGCCATATTTGTTTCAGGACACACAGACAAGGGTCCGACAAGAACTATTTCGTGTTTCGCTCGGAGATTGGTGAGTACAAAAATTACTGTTTCCCCCCCCCCCCCCCGATGTTTGTAATATGTAGATTATATGTTGCCATGGAAATAACAGTAACAATTAAGCTCCCACGAATAACAGAACTGTTTCCTAATCACCTCGCGTTAGCCATCAGTTAGTTAGCTGTACGCGTACTTAAAATTCAAATTGGCCTAAGTACATTAGTTCCCGATGAATGTGTTACTTCCTTACACCAAAATGAGGCAGACAGTTCCATATTCTAAACGCTTTGTGCTTATTCCATTTTCTATCTCTTATTTATTCCTTCCTGTAAAAGCGGACACGTACGAGTTCTCGTTCCTTTCAAATTTTCGACTCGTGGTTTGTAACTTAAGAATGTTGGTGGTTGATGTTTTGCGACACTGACATCCTGCGGCAGACGTAAGTTCTGTGATTCAGGAACGGCAGCCCCAAACCTCAGAAGTGTGTCTGTGACGGTAAAAGCACACAGCAGAAATTCAGCGGGTTAGGTTAGGTTAGGTTATGTTAGGTTAGGTTAGGTTGGGTTATGTTAGGTTAGGTTAGGTTAGGTTAGGTTGGGTTATGTTA